GCCTTACACTGAATGTGATGCATCTGGGATGGAATCCCTTGTTGGGCAGTGTAGGGTCACCTCTCCTGTCCTCTTCTCCTTGCAAGTGCCACCTCTTGCTTTGCAACACCCCAGCTTGGCACACAAGATTTGGCAGTGACCTTGGTCTGCACAGGAGCAAGTCTGAGCCAAAGCCTCTCTGCACACCCCACCCCTCGGAGTAACTGGACATGGAGCATTACCACTGCTAGAAGGAGACACTGTGACCCCCATCTCCTCCCATGGCCCAGCTCTTCGTGGCTTCTGCAGCCTGTGGGATGCTCCCATGAGCTAAATTTGTCTCCCCCCACACATCCCAAGGAAGAAGAAGCTCTTGAGATGCGTTGGCGTGCTGGCCCATGAAGCTATTTCAGAAGCTCTCCCGTGGCAACGGGAAGGGCTGTGGTGCCACGAAGAATCCCACCTTCATTTTCCAGAGCTGTCCTACAGAGCTTCACCATTCTGAGATTTAGAATTAATAAATAAATAGTTTAATGATGAACGAGCATCCTGCTGCCTGCCATTCATTGAAAAAAAAGAAAAAAAAAAGCAAAAGAAAAAGAGAATGAAAATGGCAAATTCATTTTCTCATGCTGTTGTGTCTTCTGGAAAAGCTTTTAAAGCTTCATGTTCAAGGAGCTGCAGCAGGGGGAAAAAAAATGGCTCTTGAAGTCCCTTGTATAATTTCAAAACGTTAAGTGGGTAATTGCTTGTAAAAGCCATAAAGGGGAGAGAGAATCAAAAGGAAAGGGAAAAAAAATCAGTCTAATTTTAGCTCTTGAATTGACTTTGCTTTCGAAAGGCGAGTGTATTCTTCCCTCAGAAAACTTGAATCAAGAAAAAATCTGTGTCTTCTGAAGTCAACTGCTTGCCCTGCTGGTGAGGAGAAGGAGAGGAGCAGCAGAGCTCAGGAATCCTGCACAAAGCAGCCTGGAGCTCTCGGGGCTCTCAGTACCACCTCCCAGGAGCAATTCCTTTTCCAGGGTGGAGATCTCTTTGCTGAAAGCCTACAGCTTGCAGGGGAAAACAACACTCCCCTGCAAAGAGGCAGGTAGGTGATGGCTCTGCTTTGGGCTGCAGAATGACCATGCAGAGTCCTGGCTATTTGTGAAGCCCTCCTGTGTCTCCAAGCCCTACCCAGGGCTGCATTTTGCTTCCTCAAGGGGGTTGTTGCTGATGTTTTTCTCCCATCAGTTGTCCCTGGTAGGGCTGGCTTGTCAGGCACTGGGGAAGCCACACTTCAAATACTGGTTCAGTTTGGGGCTCTTCAAGAAGGATCTTGAGGGGCTGGAGGGTGTCCAGAGAAGGGCAATGGAGCTGGGGAAGGGTCTGGAGCACAAGTGTGGGGAGGAGCAGCTGAGGGAGCTGGGGGTGCTGAGCCTGGAGCAAAGGAGGCTCAGGGGAGACCTTCTGGCCCTCAACAACTCCCTGAAAGGAGGTTGGAGCAAGCTGGGGGTCTGTCTCTTCTCCCAAAGAATGAGCAGTAGAACAAGAGGAAATGGCCTCAAGTTGCTCCAGGGGAGGTTTAAGTTGGACATTAGGAAAAATTTCTTCCCTGAAAAGTTTGGGGAGCCCTGGAAGAGGCTGCCCAGGGCAGTGGTGGAGTCCCCACCCCCCCTGGAGGGGTTTAAAAGCTGTGGAGATGTGGTGTGAGGGACATGGGTCAGTGGTGGACTTGGCAGTGCTGAGTTAATAGTTGGACTTGATGATCTTAATGGCCTTTTCCAACTGAAATCACTCTGTGATTTCCCTTTGTTCCTGCTGGAATGGAAAGACACAGGCTCTCTAGGGCAGGCAGGGGAGACAAGGGGTGTCAACCTCTGTGTCAGTGACCAGCTGGAGCACAGGGAGACTGGACTTTAGGAGAGCAGGCTTTGGGATCTGCTTGCTGGAGCACCATGGGATAAAGCCCTGGTGGGAGACAGGTTGCCCAGAGAAGCTGTGGATGCTCCATCCCTGGAAGCATTCAAGGGCAAGTTGAATGGAAAACATTCAGCTTGATCTAGTGGGAGGTGTCCCTGCCTGTGACAAGAGGCTTTGGAACTAGATGACCTTTAAGGTCCTTCCTAACCCAAACCATCCTGTGTTTCTCTTCTGTGATTCAGACACAGCTCCACAACCTCTGCACCCTGCTGGGGGTAAAAATCCCTGCAAAGCCATGAAGACATCTGTAGGACAGAGTGTTTCCCACTCCCTGCTTTCCCCAGAGCTTGCTAAATCAGGGTGAGACTTGCTCAGTGCTCCCTCCCTCCCTAGATGATAATTATATTTGAATATTAAACATCCTGGTGGCTTCCACAGGTTCCTGATGAGCAAAGCACTTACCCATGCAGCAAAAGAGGCTTGATTTCAGGCTGAGAAACAGGCTGGATGAGGGCCCCTGTGAGCAGAAGGGGGATTTTACCTCTTCCTGAGGTTTTGCCACGTGCTCAGGGGGGATGCAAGGAGTGACTTTTCTGTCTGAGGTGTAGCTGGACTGGGTGCCACTGGTTCCTCCAGGAGAGTGAATGAGATGCCTCCTGATTATTCAATCTCACTCCAGATGCTTCACACATCTTTGTGACTTCCACAGAGGCAAAAGGATTGAGAGAGGAACCTTTTCTGGCTCAAATCAGGCTGAAACTGGAGAGGAGAGTGGTGTCAAAGTCACACTTTTGTTAGGGAAGCTCTAAACTGGACGTTGGGAGAGCCATGAATTTTTATAGCAGGGTCATTTCAAAGTGCTGGCTCAGGGAGGAGTGTCCTGCAGCAGCCTGGTGAGGGCAAGGTTAAAGAAGAACGAGTTTCAAACTCATGGAGTAACATATTTCCATTTTATTTTCACCTCTAGCTGGGCAGCCTTGAAGGTCTCTGCAGAGCATGGCTGCTCTGGTAGTGCTTAGCTTGCAGGGACACATGGAGGGCAAAGGAAACCTCTCCTTAGCCTCCCTTTCCTGCTGCTGGAAGAAGCAGAAGGGGTTTCTGAACTGCTGGGGGTTTTTCAGCAGAGGATTTCTCAGCTCCACAAGGAGCCACCTCTCTGGAGGTGCTGTGCAGGGAGCAGGAGCTGCTGTGGCTTTATGCTGACCTGGGAGAAGCAAAGCAGCTTCCCCACGGTGGGCAGCTCACCCAAACCACCTCTCATCCTATTTGCCTCTTGTTTCTTGACTTTTTCCTATCAGATGTGACCTGGGGGACACTCAC